GAAGTCAAATGCACTCTTAATGGAAAAATTTATTGTTCTTTTCAAAAGAATATTTAATGTTTAAATGGGGATAACTAAAAAGTCAAATGCCATTTTTTATTAAAAGAAATATTTGGTTTAAAATGATAATAAAGGTCAAATACACCCTTAATCGAAAAAATGCTTGTTTTTGACATTTATTGAAATTTATTATAAATTAAATTAAAATTCTGCTTTTGAAAAAAATAAAAATCACTTACAACAAGCTATGCTCCATATGAAAAATAATTTTAAATAATATGTGAGTATATTTAGAAATATAATATTATATTATGTATTAACATTTGTTAAATATACAGGGTGTTTAATTTAATTTTTAAAAAGTGTCAAAACTTGTAAAAAAAAGTACTTTGCAAGTTGTAAAAAGTACTTTTTGTATGTATTTTGAACTAAAAATTTCAATAAAGTTCATCAAGTCATATACACCCTTAATAAAAAAATCTTAATCAAAAAGTCAAAAATATTTTTTTAATGATTCAAAATTTAAAAAAAATGTTTATTAAGAAGAGTGTAAAAAAAGTGAAAAAATCTTTGGTTTAAAATGAGTACGATAACTAAAATAGTGAAACATCTTTAAAAATGATATAAAAATAAAAATGGGCATTTAAACTTTAAATAAATTGTTTTAATGCATAAATAAATAAGATTAATACTTTTCTACTACTTACTCTTAGGCTGATGATTGTAGATTTGTGAAAGGCCCTTTCATAGAGCTGGTTTCAAACACATGTATACCTCTTTTGATGAGATGACCTGAAAAATACAAAATCCGTGTTAAAATTGGGCAAAATACAACATTACAATGTATATTTTGTTGTTTAATTAAGCATAATGGCATAAAAAGTGAATTAAACACTTGCCTAATTGAAAGATTTTCTTTCGAAAAGACAATAAAATGTTTTAAAAATAAAAATATATACTATTAATATAAAATAATGACTTTTAATTTATAAATAAATCTAAAAATAATAAAAAAAACTTACTTTTAGGCTGATGACTCTGGATTTGCAAAAAGGGCACTTCGTAGAGCTGGTTTCGAACATCTGGGTTTTTCTTTCAAAGAAACAATTTCAACCGAAATTGCCTGAAATTTTACAAAAACACATTTGACACAGCTCCAGAACATTAAAAAACGTATAAAATTATTAGTTTTTTAGCGATAAAGCAAAGAAAAGTAAAAAAAACGCGTCTTTTTAACCTCAAAATTTGACATTTTACAAAAAAAAGTAAAATATTACCGAAAAAAGAGTAATCTATGTATCAAAATGTTTGTTATAATGTAACGCAGACAATTGCAATGTAAAATAATGTGAAATAATTAAAAATACCACTAAAAACGCTCACCGAAATTATAAAAACCTGTCAAATTGCAAATGGCGCCGCAAAGAAAGAATTGGCGCTGCGCAGTTGTTTAAAACAGGTGACGCTATTTTTTGCTGCGTTGCACGCTGTGCGCCAAAACAGAAATTTCGACAAATTAAATAACTTTAACCGTTTTTGGGACATCAAAATACTTACCTTGTATTTATATTTTCATTGGCGAATATGTTTTATGATAATTTGTATAAAAATAAGCGATGTTGCTTCCTTGAACGGCTTTGGAACAAGGCCGGAAGTTGGCAGGGTTGCCAACTTGCCAATTTCGTAGTGCGCAGGGTGATGCGTAGAACATTTATATATAATAATTTGATTTTTTTTAGAATATTTACTTTGTAAATTGTATTATTTTAAAATGGTTAATACTGTATTATGTATTTTGTAATTGTTAATTGGATTTTTTCATGTAGACAAAATTTATTGAATAAAATTAAAAACTAAGTGAATTAAACTTTTTTCAAATAAAAATGATAACAAAAAGTCAAATTTTTAAAAGAAATCTTTGGTTTTTAAATGGGTACGATAACTAAAAGTGAAAAATCTTTATAAATATGATAAAAAATAAAAATGAGCATTTAAACTTTAAATAAATTGTTTCAATGCATAAATAAATAAGAATAATACTTTTCTAGTACTTACTCTTGGGCTGATGATTGTAGATTTGTGAAATGTCCTTTTATTGAGCTGGTTTCGAACACATTGGTATTTATTTTGACGAGATGAGCTAAAAAATACAGAAACCGTGTTAATATTGGGCAATATACAACATAACAATGTATAATTTGTTGTTTAATTGAGCATATATCATAAAAAGTGCATTAGGTATACCCTTGCTTAATCGAAAGATTTTCTTTCGAAAAGATAATAAAATGTTTTAAAAATAAAAATATATACTAATATTATAAAATAATGACTTCTAATTTATAAATAACTCTAAAAATAATAAAAAACACTTACTTTTAGGCTGATTACTCTGGATTTGCAAAAAGGGCACTTCGTAGAGCTGGTTTCGAACAACAGGTTTTTCTTTCAAAGAAACAATTTCAGCTGAAATTGCCTGAAATTTTACAAAAACACATTTGACACAGCTCCAGAACATTAAAAAACGTAGAAAATCATTAGCTTTTTAGCGATAAAGTAAAGAAAAGTAAAAAAACGCGTTTTTTAACCTCAAAATTTGACATTTTACAAAAAAAAGTAAAATATTACCGAAAAAAGAGTAATTTATGTATCAAAATGTTTGTTATAATGTAACGCACACAATTGCAATGTTAAATATTGTGAAATAATTTAAAAAACCACTTAAAACGCTCACCGAAATTATAACAACCCGTCAAATTGCAAATGACGCCGCAAAGGAAGAAATGGCGCTGCGCAGTTGTCGAAAACGGGTGACGCTATTTTTTGATGCGTAGCACGCTGTGCGCCAAAACAGAAACTTCGCCAAATTAAACAATTTTAACCGGGTTTAGAACATCAAAATACTTACCTTGTATTTATATTTTCATTGACGATTATGTATGAGGCGCCGTTTGTGCCATAATTATAAATAAAAAATTAATAAATATAAAACAATATTTTAAAAATATATAAATGTAAATCAAAAATTTTAAAATATAATAATATAATAATATGCGTAAATATATTTTATGAATAAAATTTATCACACAAAGTTATTTATATTTGCTTAACCGTTATCATTTATATTTTTAGCAGATTATCCATATATTTATAGTTTATATATATATATTTACAGTTTATCCATATATTTATAGTTTATATATATATATTTTTAGCATGTGCCATAATATACAGTTGGTTGCATACGCAGCGGGCGCTTACTAATGAAGTTGGGGTCTTTTCACATTACGAGTGGCAGCACTGGAAGGACATTTCAACTGTCAAAGTTGTTCATGTTTAAACAAAAGTGATTTTAAAACACTGTTTTGCGTCATTTTGCGTTTTCGTGAGGTTGTTTTTTTATTAGGTTTATAATATAAACTTTATACCATAAATTTTATAATACAAAAGGTGCGGTCGTTGTCGTAATATAGTTGTTATATTACTTTAATTAATACACTGTACACGTTAAACATAGTTTATTAAACAACAATATTAGAGAACACGTTGACATCTGTCTGACAAGTATTTGTTAAATCATGGCTATTATGACACCTCCCCTTTTACAAAACTAACTAAATGTTTAATACATAACAAAATCCCTAAACCTATGGGGTATTTTTATGTCTCTTTTATTAATAATTAATTACTAACTCTATCTGACACATTTGAACTAGTATTAAGTCGTTGAGTTATAAATCTGATTTTGGGAATTACAAATTAAGAATATGGAGGTTCAACAATATTTTGCACAATTAGTTGATGATGTAGGCCAAATGGAAGACCTAATAATGCAGAATAATATTGATATTCGACTTCTCGAAGAAGGTGCTGTTAAATTGGAGAATCACTGCTAAACTTTTGCTGTCTTTATGGGTATTTATCAAGCTATTGATGCTGGAATTCTTCATAATTTAAACAAAGCTTATGGAATAATTTGGAATTTATATTATACTGTTGACTGAACGTTTTATCCAAAGAACACGTTTGCCTTATATCTATGAATTGAACCAATGTATGTAACACGCCACAAACATACAGGTATCACGAGAACGCAAAAGTTTTGCGGCAAAACACAACACAAAACGCTTTTGTTGCACTTTTGTTTTAAAAATGTGACAGACTGTCACTGACAGTTGAACTGTTCTTCCAGTGCTGCCACTCGTAATGTGAAAGACGCTAACTTCATTAGTAAGCGCCCGCTGCGTATGCAACCCAGTATATATTATGGCACATGCTAAAATATATATGGATAAACTGCTAAAAATATAAATGATAACGGTTAAGGAAATATAAATAACTTTGTGTGATAAAATATATATAAATAAATTTTATTGATAAAATATATATCTCAATTTATAATTTTATTTCTTTAAGTAATATTTTATAATTTTTGATTTACATTTATATATTTTTAAAATATTGTTTTATATTTATTAATTTTTTAATTATAATTATGGCACAAACGGCGCCTCATAATTATGTTTTATGTATATATTTGTATAAAAATGACCATTTTTAAGTAAAACAAGTGGACAAAACGGGTGAGCGATGTGGTCCCATTGAACGGCTTTGCAAAGAGGCCGGAAGTTAGCAGGGTTGCCAACTTGCCAATTTCGTAGTGCGCAGGGTGATGCGTAGAACATTTATATATAATAATTTGATTTTTTTTAGAATATTTACTTTGTAAATTGTATTATTTTAAAATGTTTCTTATTTTATTATGTATTTTGTAATTGTTGATTGGATTTTTTCATGTAGATAAAATTTATTAAATAAAAAAAGTCAAATACCATCCTTTATTGAAAGAAATCCTTGGTTTAAAAGGGTACAATAACTAAAAAAAGTCAAATACACCCTTAAAAAAAAATCTTAATCGAAGTCAAAAGTATATTTTTTAAATGATTCAAAATTTACTAGGTTTTTAAATGTAGATGAGTGATAAATTGTTTTATATTTTTCAGTTAAGTTTCATATTGCCCATTTATTCGAAGTGCAAGGCAAGGTAAAAGGTGCAAAAGACAGATACGAACTTCTGTTGCGTGATAAAGGAATCAGTCAATCGCTTCGAGCTGATATTTATAGACAATTAGGTGAGTTTAGAGTTGCATTGAAATTTGAATGGGATTATTTTAAACTGTGGGTTGGGTTTAAGGTTGGCTGTATCACTGCCACGAATCGCTGGGCGACAAAAATCAGCGGATACCCACAGCAATACACTACCTGCAAAAGGCAAACGAAGCCGACCAATTTTCCGGCCAGACGTTGTATCTTCTGGGCCGGTGTTACGCGAGCATAGGAAAAGTGCATGATGCGTTCATCGCTTACAGAAACTCAGTGGAGAAGTCTGAGGGCAACGCTGACACTTGGTGCTCTATAGGGTAAACTTTGATCGATTAAACATTGTTGCCGGTCGATTAATTTGTAATTTTAGGGTACTGTATCAACAGCAAAACCAGCCTATGGATGCGCTGCAAGCGTACATCTGCGCAGTACAATTAGACAAAGGACATTCGGCAGCCTGGGCAAACCTGGGCATACTTTATGAGAATTCACTGCAAGCGAGGGACGCGTACGCTTGCTACTTAAACTCCAGCCGAGGCTACAAAGGTTCATCCGACGAATCTTTCAACACGAAATTACCGCGACTATCGAACCTATCAAACGTGGGGATGAACCCACATCTAACTCAAAGAATCAACTTCCTTCAAACCCATCTATCAAACGCTCCGATGCCCAGCGTAACCAGCCAGTAAGTGCCTACGTTTGAACGAAACGATGCATGCGTTGTGTCTCTAACGCGCTAACTGCCTGCACCTAATATTTGTTTGTTTGAAATTTGAAATTTTCAGGAGAAGGCAGTTGCTTTCGATAGAGGAGGCTTGGAACCTGCCGATATCTGCGGAAATGTCTTCGAGACAGCAACAAACCGCCCAATCGAATCGCAATAACAATACCTCTTCGCAAGCCTTCCAAAAAAGCTACCCGGTACCGCCGGCGGCAGGGGGCGCTACGCCGCAGGGACCGCCCCCGCCGTATCCCTCGCCGAACGCGGCAGCCGCCGCCGCCGGCAAAAAATTCAAAACCGAAAGCCCGGAACAAAAAGCTCCTCCGAATGCGCAACCGCAACCTTCCTTCTGTCTCACGCAGCAGCAATTGCAGCTGCTCAGCTATTTCCAACAAAATGTTAACACACTCACACCCGCACAACAGGTAAGTCGCACACTTGTTTACCTCGAGGGGTTTTTATTTGGGACAACGTAAAAAAGCCGACGACAGCCATTTTGGTGCAGGGTAGACCACAACTTTTTTACTTTCTTACTTTATACTTTAAACAGCATAGGTAATATTATGCATATTGGTTATAATATTTTTATGATTTTTCTAGTACTTACGATACTTTTCTGGCAATAAATTTTGTTTAACACCAAAGAAAATCCTTTTTTTCTTCTTTAACAGCTGCTTATTGTAAATAAGTAAGTTAAGGACGGCATGGCGAATCGATTTTGACATTAACTGTCAAACCAATGACTGTGATACCAACTATCTAAAGTAAAATTCGACCAAATTAAATATAAGGTATAAAATTAATTTTTTTTATAGAATTTTTGCAAAATAGATAAAATGGCATAAAGAACCCATGTCATAAGACCTTTTGTCGCACTCGTCCATTACAAAACTCGCTCCTTCGTTGCTCGTTTTATACATTGTCCGCGTGCGACAAAATGATGTCTTATGACATTAGTTCTTTAATATACTATTTTTAAACAAGGATAGTTGCACTGAGAAGAAATGGGACAAATACACTGTGTAGCTAATACTTTTTATTAATAGGAAATATATTGTTTATTACCTCTAAATAGTCGAAATAATAACGATAAATTTACTTTAGTAAAACTTTATGTGTCGGGAATAAAAATATATGTAAGATAAATAAACAATGCTTCTGTCCCATATTTTTATTCTTTTTATTTGGGAATATATACATTGATAATGGTAATATCTTTAAAAATCTTGCTTTCATCGAAAGAAAAGGATATTTTATTAATTATTAATTCAAAGTGATACGGCATGATCAAATTTTGCCCGATTTAAATAAAATTTGTAGCTCTATTTATCTACTTTATTGTGTTAAAATTTCAATGCAATCAAATATAAATTGGCAACATGGCAATAAAATCAACCAAGCGAGTCAAAATTGGGTTAGTTTTATTGCCATGTTGTCAATTTTTATTTGATTTATTTAAAAAATTTTAAGCATATTTTTTTATAAATATATTATACGATATTATACGATTTTGTAGCCAAATTAAAAATGCACAATAATTACAATTTATTTTAATACACCTAATAATTCTTAAAAATGAACATTTTAAATGGCTTATTTATACATTATTTATTCTAACCTAAGGTATCCATGAAACAGTTAGGTAATTTTTAAAACTAAAATTATAGATCTAACTTTAAGAGACAACATAAAAATTGTGCTTTGATTGAGTGGCCGCCGAGATCCCCAGATTTGACGCCACTAGATATTTTTCTTTGGGGTATATAATTGTAGAGAATTTTTTGAATTTTCTATTTTTTGTTTTATTGTTGTTTTAAGTTTCTATTGCGTTTTTGATTTGTTAAAACTAAGCATAAGAGTATTTATACAATGACTTTTAGTTTAATTTTATTTTTTTTCATTTTTCGTTTAGCTACAAAATCGTTCCTACTTAAAAATGTTTAATAAAATTTAGTATGGGGTCGTCTTAAGGGGTAATGAATCCAGTGCCGTGCATAGAATTTTTTTAAATCGCTTAAATGAATTCTTAAAAATTTACTCTCAAAAACTGACATAATAGGCCATGTATTTTGTAAAAATATAGTATGGCATACTAAGTATGCAACTCGTTAGAAACTTTTCTAGACACTCATTTAATTAAGCACTCGCTTTCAAGTTCGCTCGTGCCTTTAAATTAAATTCATGACTAAAATGACGTTTGTCAAACTTGATACATAATATACTGTTTTGGATTTTAAGAGCTACAAGTTTTGTGCTAAGGTTTAACTGAAAAATCTAAAGATCCATTTTTAAAATTTCCTCCCCGAGAAATCGTTATTTGAAATTTAGGATCCAAAAACTACGTTTTAAAAGTTTTCAAAACTATTTTTTTTAAGACTTATGCTCAATCAAACTCTCTTTTAAGGCACTTGAAAATACAAATATTAATACAAAGTTTTATTGTTAAGAATTCTAAAATTTTTTTTGCTAAAAATTGCATTGTTATTTAATCCAATAAAGTAGAATAATAACCTTCCAATATTATTAATATCATATTTTTATAAAAAATATTGATATTTACTACCCTTTTAAATTTTTTTTTTAATTTTCGATAAATTTTGTAAAAATGGCGAATGCGCCGGGATTAATTCTGCGAAATTGCAAAAATAAATTAAAAAATGGAAACTGTATTTAAAACGAAATGGTTTATAAAAATTTGTTGTTATCAACATTTCTTTTTAATTCGAATATTAAATCATTGAAATTTCGAGATACCGCAATACCACACAAAATATTCCTTATGCTTTATTACTTTTGTACCTCACTACAAAACTAGTATTTTATAGCCTTCCATATAAATTTATTAGGCTCTCGGTACTTAAATACCCTTATTTATAACTACGTATAGAATAATATATAGGTACTTGCATGTGGCTACTACTAAAGATGCATGCGATTTGCCGCTTGAATTTGATCCTTTATCGAAAAATAATTCGTAACAATCCCCTCCGTACTAGTTTTATTGTGTTTACCTGTTTGCACAGGTACTGCGCTTATAACAAAGGGAGCAATTTTACCTGTCCAGATCATTCAGTCTTTAATTGCACTTCAATCAGTAAACAGCACCAACAGCATTCTTTAATTTGTGTCCGATTATATGATCAATCAATATTTTAATTAGCCCTCGACGACAGTTTTTAATTATTGCGCGGTTATTTCGTTTCAGCAATCGATGCAGCAGCTGCAGCATCAGTACCGCTTGATGCAACAGCATTCGCAGCAGCTGAGGAGTCAGCGGCAGTCCGGAGGCGCCGCCACGCCGGTGACGCGCTCGGGGCCGACGTACGCCGCCAACCAGCCGTTCCCGAGCGTGGCCGCCACCGGTCAAAGCAACGGCAGAACCTTCGGCGACAAGCTGATGCAACCGAATCCGGTGCTGGTGCCGTCGCACAGGGACAGCTTCGCGTCCCACGCGACCGATCTGGACGTCAGCGAGGAGGACCTCAAGGATTTGTTGTCGCAGAAGGATCTCGCGACAACTTTGGCCGAGGATTTGCTAAAGCACTTCGGTTCCGAGGACATCGACGTAAAAGAAGAGAGCCACAATCAAGGTATTTGTTTCTATCGTTTGTTGAGTTATGTAGTTACAATATTTTAATTAAGGTAGTTGTCGTGGTGCAATATTATCAAAAACTTTTAGATTATACGCACCGTAAAAGTATACGAGCTTGTAGCTAAGTGATTCATAATTTTTTCGCAAGACTGTACCCTGGAGACGTTACCTTTACGTAATACTTTCAAATATTTTCATAAGTTTTAATCCGGCAACGTCGCTTATGCCAAACCAATATATATAGATATATTGGAGACTGAATCAGTTTGTTTGAATTTACGGAAATAATATCTATACTCGCGTACAGTGTTTTTATCTGACACTAGTGATGTATACTTTTTACAAATTGTTGAACTTTAAACTGTTATTTATAAACAATTGGACGGTCAAAAATTTTTAATTATTTTTTTTAAAACTCAGCAAAAATACATTAAAAGACTGTTAGTTTTTTGAAAGCTTCTGACAGTTAGTTTTTTTTATATAACTTAAAAACTGGTACAGAACTACAGAAAGCGTATACAATCCATGTTAATTATCCAATTTTTAATTGAATTATCTCGGGTTATAGACGGTCAATCGACAAATTTTAAGGATAATTGTATTTTCATGTCCTTAATAAGTATACAAAAATTTAAAATTTTCTGATGGTATGCTTACAGCACGACAACTACCTTAAATGCGATAAATAATAAACACAAATATATTGTATTTGCATAGCTGAAAGATCAACAACAGTTTTTATGTTAGTTTTTGTGTTGAACGATTCGAAATTACCGAATAAGTATTAATCGATTGCTTATTACATTTGTGATATATTTTTCGGCAGCGTTCTGAGCTCCAGTTTTTTTAGTGAGTAAACTCTGTCATTTACATTAAAAATTATTTTTGTTACTCTCTACCAATTGGCAATTATATGTTTTCGAAATTTCAAAAAAAATTATTCCAACGAACCGCGGAAAGCGAGGAAACGTCCGATGTAATATTGAAATGTATTAATTCCAGACACGCTATCGTCCGGCCCGTTTTCACCATCGAACATGGACGCAAAAAGGGACGACGTCAAACGCAAAGTCAAATCACCAACGCAAGAGAGTATATTAACGATCAAATCCGAGCCTCCGTGGGACCTGGACGCTCTGCACTCCATTGAAAAACGATCGAAAATCGATTACTCCATCGAAATGGACGCAGGAATGGTCATAAAATTGTGCAAGTAAGTACCCATACCTAATAGCCAGAGACATCTTCAGGAATTAAACTAAAACTGACACTTTCTCAGTTTAATTCCTGAAAATGGCTCTGGTACTTATTACGAAACGACACGTCGGATACTAAGTAAATTAACCAAAATCTAAGTAAAATAACAGTTTTTTAAACTTGTTTTTTAACCAATTAGTTGTGTTCAACCATTAACATTTTTATAAGGTTACTATGAACTTTATGGTAAAATTCAAAGGTTATTTTTTAGTTTTTAAGAAACCCATTGGTACTAACTTGTTAAATATTTGGTTTATTTATGGTCAATTTAAACTCTTCCAAAAACCATTACCAAAGTGGTGATAACTTTAAATTAGTTAAGTATACTAAACAGCTACTTTAATTTTTACTTAAAAGTAATTCTCACTTTAAAATAGCAATATTTTGTAAAAGAAACTTCATTCTTTCCTTAAATGGTTACTATAAAGTAATAAACATTTAAGTGAAACTTGGTTTCCCCCAAGAAAAACTTTCAAGTAAATTTAATTTGTAGCAGTTACTTTCGGTTGCTACCTAAAGATTACATTATAATTATTTTTACTTTGTAGTCCCTTTGCAAGTTAAAATCTCGAAACTGGAACAAAAAGTTAATAACTTAAAAGTTATTATTTTTGTATTTGGAACGTTTATGGTACTAACCAAAACTAAAGTAAATTAAGGTGGAAAAAAACTTTAAAGTAGCGAAAATTACTTCAAAGGAAAATGCTTCTTATAGGCCATTTTTTACTGTACAGTAATAATAAATTATTTTAATTGTTTGTAAATGGTTGTTTACTTTTTAATAAATAGTAATTTTGTTGGTAATAGACGGTATTAATAATTAAATAAAAAATTAATAATAAATATTAAGCTTTTTTATTTATAAACATTATTAAATAAATAATTTGTTTATACTTAAATATTGATGAACCGCATTTATTTTACAAAAACTAAATTCATAAGTTCAACAGTAAAATTTAAAGGGCTTATAAATTTACCTGCCCAATTAAACATTATATTCTTATTCTGGAAGTTATAAACTACCAGTACATATTTAATAAACGACGACATTGAAAAGCCAAGTCCGTAGTGGTTCCATTTAAAAAAGAAGGGATAGTATAAACTAATATAAAATTGACAAAAACGGTTAATATAGAAGTAAAGACAAATAAATAAAAGTAATTATAACCCACGTAGCATTGTAGTGACGAAAACTGATATCACCACTTCAAATGAGTGGCAATAACGTTTAAATAACTAAATCTACCACGAGTTGTAATCATGTGATTTGCACCAGCAGAATATACTTTACAGTTTTATAACTTTTTGGTGTATTAATCTGGTATCTGAAATGTTATGACCACTTTTGACACCACCTTAAAGTTGTCTAAACTTTAGAGTGGATTATGAATAGTAAATGTAACCAAATCACATCACTTAAGTATTACTTTGAAGTGGTAGTGGTAGTAAAGTGGGTATATCAGTTTTGGCAACGTTTTCGGAACTTTTTCCAAGCCTTGAATGTGGCAAAACTTAATTATATAATTGCGGTGGTGATTGCCACGTTCTTGCTACATGCTTAAGTGATTTCCACGTTTCGTATAAAATTACCACTTTAAAGTTCCCTTCTTCAAAAGCAGACATGTTTACAAATAATCGCCGTTGTAGGGAAATAAACGTGTAGTTTTAAACAAATAATTCTGATTATTACTGCATCAAATTTACATATTTATTGGTTTCAGAAATAATTCTGATTATTACCGCATCAAATTTACATATTTATTGGTTTCAGGTGACCAGAAATAATAAAAAAATTATTTTAGGCCTCTAGTTAAATAATTTTCATGTCCGTTATAGATTTTTTTATTATTTTTTTTACCACATATTTTAACAGGGTGTGCCTATATTACAAGCCATGATACCCATGTTTGACAGTAAAATTTAATTCCTGTTAATTTTATGTCTTCGGATTATTTTAATTCTAGTTATTATTTGCAAGTTGTACTCTTACAATATTATAATTCAGTGTTAGTTTAATATCCACTAAGAGAAAGCAAAGATGATAAGATAAATAATATGCTGGAAATAGACGGGGATAGAAAGTAAATTAATGATTAAGTTTTGGCCACTATACCTTTACGTTATAGTAACGTGGTATTAATGTGTCTGTATCAGTGGCGGATTGGGGATTTTGGGTATACCAATATCTCAGTTATTAGACATGGGACCCACACCAAATTTATAATAGTTTATTATGACATTAAATAGACAATTTATACTTCACTATAATTTATCGGTAAATTTAAAATTTTATTTGAAAAATCCAAATATTACAGATTTTATACCATATTAAATATTTTTTTATTATAATAAAATAAATAATAAAAATTTAAAATCGTATAAAATCTGTAATATTTGGATTTTTCAAATAAAATTTTAAATTTACCGATAAATTATAGTGAAGTATAAATTGCACAACTTTAATTTGAATTATCTCAAATGGGGGGGCCAGAATCCAGGTGAGGCGACACAAAAAACTAACTTTTTTCCACAAACTTTAATTTAAATTCTGTTTGCTCAGAACTTGTCTATTTAATGTCATTATAAACTATTATAAATTTGGAGTGGGTCCCACGTCTAATAAGTGAGATATTGGTATACCCAAAATCCCCAATCCGCCACTGGTCTGTATACAATTCAAGAACGTTGTTGGGACGTAACCTACACTAAAAAAGTGTTCCCCATTTTAGTTACTTCCACGTAAAAGAACAGTTTCTACCACGTGGCAGAGATTTTGGCAATATACTTTACAGGTCCATGTATAAGTGGCCAACACGTTTTAACCACTATAAATGCTACTTAGGTTACGAATAGTTGGTAGGTACCAGTGGCGTAGCTAGCCTCGGGGGGGCCCCGTATCAAAAATCTGGTAGGGGCCCTTATACGGGAAAAGCTGCTGGCAAAAAAACTTCTGGGTGTCACGCCCAAAGTCTATTTTGGGCAAACAAAAAAATTTTTTTTAGTGTATCATTTTTTTGCATTTACCAATTTTTTATAATTTAATAAATAATATATGTATACATACGTATATATATTACTTAGCTTTTCATGTACAGGCAAATTTTATAATTTGGTCTGGTTTTGGACATTTAGCGTTCTTCAACATCTTTTAAAAGGTTTCTATTTTAAAATAAAGGCAACTCCTTTGAAATAATTGTAACGCTAATAATTATTTTTAATTTGATATTAATATACCTATGATAATAACACGCAAAGCAGACTCAGAATGCGACGCAGAGCAAAGAACAATATGCGCAGACAACGCATGGCGGAAGAGTGCGGGCAGAAACAATTCGTATGAGTTCACGGCCTCGTTGGAACAGGAGGGTATTCAGGAAAATTTTAATTTAATATATCGAAGTATAAACAATTAAATAATAATATTATAATTTATTTAATTTTATGTCTCAATATTTTAACATGTGGGTAATATGTTTTTTGCTTACGCATGTCGAAGCAAATCGGGGGCCCCCCCTAGCCGGGGGCCCCGTATCATTGATACGGCTGATACCGCGGTAGCTACGCCCCTGGTAGGTACTCTACCGTACTTATAATTGTAAATTGTGCTACTTGGGTGGTCTAAACCAGGAAATGCAGTTTTCTCTAATAATTTTCAATGTTTTCGTTCCCTCTAAACTATTTTCTTGTTTTTGCAGAAGCGAAGTCGTGAACGGCGACATAAACAGTTCCCTGATATCCGACACGGCGCCTCCGCCCTCGCCTCCCGACCCTCCCAACACGATACTGAACCACCAGCAGCTGCTACCTCCGACTCCGTCCGTTTACCTCGACAACAAGAAGCACGCGTTCAGCCCGCAGCTGCAGGAATTCTGCCTCAAGCACCCGATCGCCGTGATCAGAGGGCTGGCGGCGGCCTTGAAGCTCGATCTCGGCTTGTTTTCGACGAAAACCTTGGTGGAAGCGAACCCTGACCACAGCGTCGAGGTGAGAACGCAAATGCAGCAACCGTCGGACGAGAATTGGGACCCGCAAACCGGCAAGAAAGTTTGGGCGTGCATATCGCACCGATCTCACACTACAATAGCGCGGTATGCCCAGTACCAGGCGTCCAGCTTCAAGGATAGCTTGAAGGAGGAGCGCGAGAAAGTCGCCAGCGGACTGTCGGACTCGGATTCGAAGGACTCGACGCACTGCGCCAAGCGGAGGAAGATCCAGGGCGCGGCGCCGGGCGCGGTGTCCAGCAACCCGAAAAGCTGCAAGGAGCAGAAGACCTTGAAGTTCGGCACCAACGTCGATTTATCGGACGAGAGAAAGTGGCGACCGCAGCTGCAAGAGCTGATGAAGCTGCCCGCCTTCGCTCGAGTCGTATCGGCCGCGAATATGCTCTCGCACGTCGGTCACGTCATTTTGGGCATGAACACCGTGCAGTTGTACATGAAAGTGCCCGGCAGCCGGACGCCCGGCCACCAGGAGAACAACAACTTCTGCTCGATAAACATCAACATCGGACCGGGCGATTGCGAGTGGTTCGCCGTGCCCGACGCCTACTGGGGCGCCATCTGCGCCTTGTGCGAGAAACACCAAATCAACTATCTGCACGGATCGTGGTGGCCGATCCTCGACGATCTCTTCCAAGCGAACATACCGGTCTACAGGTTCCTGCAAAGGCCCGGCGATTTGGTCTGGGTGAACGCCGGCTGCGTGCACTGGGTGCAGGCCGTCGGCTGGTGCAACAACATCGCCTGGAACGTCGGCCCTCTGACGGCCCGGCAGTACCAACTCGCGATCGAGCGCTACGAGTGGAACAAGCTGCAGAGCTTCAAGAGCATCGTGCCCATGCTGCATCTCTCCTGGAATTTGGCAAGAAATATCAAAGTCTCCGACAGGAAACTCTACGAATCGGTCAAGTAAGTACTTTGTTTGTTTCTAGACCGGGCTTTTAAAGTGTCGGAAAAATGAGTAAAAAAACCCGGGCCTTGAGAAAATTGGCTTTTTTGGCAAAAATTTAATTTTTTTTTGGAAAATATACACATTTAAAATAAAGTAGCAATGAACAACTTAAAATTAATTTAATTTACCTCTTTTACCAAAAAAAATTTAAGATTAAATTAAATAAACTAAACAGCTACTTTAATTTTTACTTAAAAGTAATTCTAACTTTTAAATAGCAATATTTTGTAACAGAAACTTCATTCTTTCCTTTGCAACTTTAAAAAGGGTGTTATAAGTAAAAAAACTTTCAAGTAAATTTAATTTGTAGCAGTTACTTTGTAGTCCCCTTGCAAGTTAAAATCTCGAAACTGGAACATGAGTTAAAAACTACAAAGTTAATAACTTAAAAGTTATTATTTTAGTATTTGGAACGTTTATGGTACTAAATGCTTCTTATCGGCCATTTTTTACTGTACAGTACCACGTGGTAATGTAAATAATAAATTATTTTAATTGTTTGTAAATGGTTGTTTACTTTTTAATAAATAGTAATTTTGTTGGTAATAGACGGTATTAATAGTTAAATAAAAAATTAATAATATATATTAAGATTTTTTTTATTTATAAACATTATTAAATACATAATTTGTTTATACTTAAATATTGATGAAGCGCATTTATTTCACAAAAACTAAATTCATAAGTTCAACAGTAAAATTTAAAGGGTTTATAAATTTACCTGCCCAATTAAACATTTTATTGTTATTCTGGAAGTTATAAACTACCAGTACATATTTAATAAACGACTACATTGAAAAGCTAAGTCCGTAGTGGTTCCATTCAAAAAAGGAGGGATAGTATAATCTAATATAAGTTTGACAAAGACAGTTAATATAGAAGTAAAAACAAATAAATAAAAGTAATTACGATCCAAATAGTAGCCAGTGACATATCTGTTACCTTTTTGGAACTTTAGTCGTAACTTAGTAATGAAAGAGTAATATAAAGAGACCGGCGACTGTCGCAAAACACTTTAAAGTTTCTTCAATAGTCCCATATACGTAACAAATACTTAAATTGTTGCTTGGGTTATTTATCTCATTATTTTTGCTTTCTCTGACTGGACATTAAGCTGACACTGAATACTAACTTATAATAATGTGAATACAACTTGCAAATAATAACTAGAATTAAAATAACCCGAAGATAAAATTAACACGAATTAAATTAAAACTACACATTTATTTTTATACAATGAGGATTATTTGTGAACATGTCTGCTTTTAAAGAGGAAAACTTTAATGTGGTAATCCTGGTCATAACGTTTTAAATACCAGACTGAGACACCAAAAAGTTATAAAACTAGTATGAAGATATTTCAACTGTATCGTTACAGATTTAGTTATTTTAACTTAATTGCCACTCATTAGTTTTCGTTACTATAATGCTACTTAAGAAAGTAACACCATTAACGAAAAAACACCTATTTAGTTTTAACCCCTTAGTTATCTTATGCTTGTGCCAATTTTATTTTTGGTATTACCACAGCATAAAGATATTCTAACAATTTAAGTATTTGTTACGTATATGGGACTATTGAAGAAACTTTAAAGTGTTTTGCGACAGTCGCCGGTCTCTTTATATTACTCTTTCATTACCAAGTTACGACTAAAGTGGGAAACAATTATTGAGTTCCAAAAAGGTAACAACTATGTCACTAGCTATAAACCCTGCTACTATTTGGAACGTAGCTGCTACGTTACTAGAACGTTTCAATATCGTTGCTAGGGCGTTATAATTACTTTTATTTATTTGTTTTTACTTCTATATTAACTGTCCCTCCTTTTTTAAATGGAACCACTACGGACTTGGCTTTTCAATGTCGTCAACCATTTAGAAACAATTAAAATAATTTATTATTTACATTACCACGTGGTACTGTACAGTAAAAAATGGCCGATAAGAAGCATTTTCCTTTGAAGTAGTTTTCGCTACTTTAAAGTTTTTTCCACCTTAATTTACTTTACGGTAGTTTTGGTTGGTACCATAAACGTTCCAAATACTAAAATAATAACTTTTAAGTTATTAACTTTGTACTTTTTAACTTATGTTCCAGTTTCAAGATTTTAACATGCAAAGGGACTACAAAGTAAAAATAATTATAATGTAGTCTTTAGGTAGCAACCAAAGTAACTGCTACAAATCAAATTTACTTGAAAGTTTTTTTTACTTATAACACCTTTTTTAAAGTTCTTGAGGGCAACCAAGTTTTACTTAAATGTTTATTACTTTATAGTAACCATTTAAGGAAAGAATACAGTTTTTGTTACAAAATATTGCCATTTAAAAGTTAGAATTACTTTTAAGTAAAAAGTAAAGTAGCTGTTTAGTATACTTAACTAATTTAAATTTATCACCACTTTGCAATGGTTTTTGGAACCAAACATGCTGCTGGAAATGGGAAATTTCCTTATTTTAAATGTTGTTATATTATTTTTGTAGAAACTGCCTGCTGAGGACGCTGACAAAATGTTGTCGGATACTGGAGTTTGTCAAACAACGTGGCGTGGAGGTAAAATTCCACGGCAGGGGGAAGAACGAGGCGTCACACTACTGTGGCCAATGTGAGGTAAGTGCCACTCGACTAAATATAAAGCAAAACACAAACTGTACAATTTGCTGTGATTTCAGATCGAAGTGTTCAATATTCTGTTCATCCGGGAGCAAGAGAAGCGCCACGTGGTTCACTGCATGGACTGCGCTCGAAAACAATCGGCAAATTTGGAAGGGTTCGTTTGCTTGGAGGAATACAAGATGCAAGATCTTTGCGAGGTGTACAACAATTTCGTGTTGCACGCGAACGTCGCGCCGCAAGACCAATACCGGCTTGTGTAGATTTCAATTTCGATTTTTTTTCGATTTCATTAAGTAATTAAGCTACCACTGCCACGTGTAACTGATGTACAACATATTTAATATATTTCATAGATAGCTTATATATGAATGATATGGTAATGTCTGAGTCAAGTCTGTCAATTAGTGCAATGTTTAAGCAAGGCATTGCATAGAAATTCCTTTTCTTCTCTTTGTTGAAAGTATTTGTTTTCAATTGCTAGACTAAAGCTTTAATTTTTTTCGTAGACACAGAAAATAATGTTTCGTTTGATTCTGCACTGCGCGTCAAAATTAACGCACAACAAGTAAAAAGAATCCATCTCTAAAACGCCCTCACCAATCTTTATAAAATTTTGTATAAAAATACTTCAACTTATATCTCAGTTTAAATAAATATATAATAAATATCCTTAATAATAAAAATCGAAATAATCGAAATCGGCAGTTAAGTAAAAGAAATCCGTAGAACTACTGCCGATTTATTAGTATTGTATGCAACCCATTATACATTTATGATGTGTCTACTGCTACTCAGCAGCAAATAAATAATATTTAAAAAAAGCACAGTCGCGGAGGTCGATTGGACCCTTTCATAAAATGCGAAAGACCTTATTTTTGTTAGTACACCCTAAAAATGTTGTACAAATCAAACAAACAGTAACGAAATCGTCAAAAATGATCATTTTTACCGACTTTGAAGCGCTGTATCTTCGTTACTGTTCGTTTAAGTTGTACGCAATTTTCAGGGTATACTAACAAAAATACGGTCTTTAACAGCATATTTTTTATTTACTTATAAAAAAATCCTTAAAAGTTATTTTTCGAACGTTTATTTATTATTAAATAAAAATATTTTCTCGCAAAACCCTGGAACACGTAAACAGATATAAGTTGAAGTATTTTTATACGAAATTTCATAAAGATTGGTAAAGGCGTTTTAGCGTTAACATTTTTTTACTTGTGCGTTAATTTTGACGCGCAGTGTATTTACCATGATCTTAATTCTATTTATTATAACAAAGGTTTACCTAACTTCTTAAAGTTGGTTGTTGTGAATGTGAATAGATCGATTTTATATAATATTGTTTGCTTGTTATTGTAAAAAGAGTGATAATGTAAAATAAATTTTATCGAATAGGATTGTACATAATATTGTCAATAATTTTGTAGCTTTTAAGGGCTAAATATTACACCCAAAACAGTGATCTCATTGTAGTTAGTTGATTGTAATTGTAAATATTCTAATATTTAAGATAAAAATAAATATATTTATATAATATATTTATTTTAGTAGGAAACAAATGATCTAGCATTTTAAAATTGTCTATTTTTAAATGTAGTATCACTGAATCATATATTTATTTTATTTCGGCCAATGACCAGGAAATATTAATATTAATTATTATTACACCAATTTTGACATTAGCGTACATAATCTATATGTAGTATTTCCCAAGTTATTTCAAAAGAAAGAAAAACCTATTTTTTGAAACCTAAACTTTTTTTGCACAGGGTAACTCGCTCGCTCTTTATTATTATTATTTGGTGAATTGATTAGTTACCCTGCCTGCTGATCATAATAATAATAAAGGCGGTTCACATCAAAAAATCTAAAAACCTTACTGCCAACTATGTGATAGTTACTGCCCAAAAAAATTAAATTTTTCTTTTCGAATTATGAAGCCTGGGTTATAACAGTGCCTTCTCCTGTAATTGTAATAAAAATAATATGAAAAAGGTAATATTTTTTGCATTCGTGACCAAAAAATATGAGACGTAGTCTTCATTATGTAAATATAAGTATGTAGTTAATTCAGAATTTCTACTAGCTCAATTTGTCTATGTAATTATTATAATCCTATTGTATTTCTTTTTATTCTTACCTACCTACTTTATATCAAAAAGTCTGAAGTTTTTTTGTGCATTGTATTTTATAGATTTAATTTTCATTAGGTAATAAGTTGTATTTATATTTACATAAATAAACGAGTTACGATATATTACGACTTTTCTCATTTTCACTAATAAAAAACAAGTTTGAAAGTAAGTACGGAAATTTTATTACTTATAAGTCTTCATCTCAAATACATTATTATCACAAAGGACTAGAACAAACAATTTTGTCTTTAAATTAAATTTTTAGATTAATAATAAAACTGGTATGGTGGATATTGGTATGCTTCCCAGCATTCGGTTTGACCGTCGCTCATGAACATCCTGATCTCCCTGGGGAAGAAAAGCGCGTTATTCTTGGGCCGCATCTCCTTCTCCAACTCCTCCTGTCTCCTCTTTTCTTCCTCCTCCGTTTCCTTTTCTATTTGCTCCCAAGTTCTGTTACGGAACATGTGTCGAAATTTATAGAAGAACCTCGGATACTTGTGTCCCAGATAATCAGCGTAAAGAACCAGAACAAGCATTGTAGTATGCTGCAATATTAAGGCACCCAACCCTTTGTAATATCCATGGTAGCCTTCCTCCTTCAATATTCTTTCAATGCAATCCAGGCTGCCCTCGTATGTTGTTGTGATGGGAAACAATGTATTGCCTGTATCCATATTGTCGATAAGACGCTGAACACCCTGTAAAAAGATTATATTCGTTCATTTGTCAGGGGTTTTTCTTGAAATTTGCGACTCTACTTTCTATAGAAAATGATCTAAGTATATGGAAAGGAATAACACGTCGCGAATTTCAATTGAATATTGTAAATAAAATAAAACCACCAATAACTTTCAGTAATGTATATTAAAAATATAATCTAATCTGTACAATATTAAAAATAAAAACTAATCTGTTTGGGTAGCTTTATCTACATAAACCTTATTATTAAAATAAAACCTCTCCTCTGTGGAAATGGCGTCACGTCTAACAAAAACATTATTTTCAACATCTTCAACGCTGATTTGCCTTAAAACGCGATCTTCAAAACTGTGTAGCCGTTCGCGTAAAGGTATGCCCGTGTCCCGTATGGGTTTTCTGCCTCTAATGCTGAACTTGTATCTTTTGGGCTCTGGATTTGAGTGGTGGATGCCGACTTCGCTTTCAGAGTGCGATCTTTTCAGGGAAACGTTGCAAAAATCCTGAGATAAGCCGACAACATTTTTCACTATCCGACTCATTGAAGACCACAAGCCATCTTTATCCTTGGATATGTTTTTTATTTCGGATAGGTCTTCCTGTTTTTTACTTTCATTCTCCAAATCACTTTGGGATATTACAAGTTTAGTACTGGCGAAAATATTTTGCTCTTCAGTAGGTTCTTCCTGGATAACATCATTTTTTGGAGAGTCCACATCAAATAAATTCTGCTTTTTTCGCTTTTTTAAGTTCATTGATATAGGAGTAAACTTATCTATAATGGGAGTTACTTTAAAAATCTTGCTGTCGCTAATGGAAATATTGATTTCTGTTGTGTTTATGGCACTTTCCCACAATGTTTCATTGTCCTCGTTTTCTTTAACTTCCGAATCTACTATGCTGCTATAGTACTCTGTTCCAGGTGTGGAAGCTGGTGTACTAACATTCGTATTTTCTTCAGCCTTTTCTGTATTAGTTTTCTCCTCCTTCTCCTCAATACTAGGTGTAATACAAAAAGTAACCATCTTAATGGCAGGGCTCTTATTATCAATTTTACTTATATCACTTGAATGATTCACTGAACCGTCTTGCATTTTATTTAATTTATTATCCTGCATTGGAGTACTTGAAATAACATTGGTAAACACGTTTAACATTCTATTATTTGCTATTAGAGCTGTAACAGGAGGAGAGTCATAGTCCTGACTTACCTCTATCAAAGGATTATTTGGAGTAGGGGGAGGCAATTCACATTTCTTGTGACTTAAAAGTTCCTCAATGGTAGTATATACTTTTTTGCAAACTACACAGTTTAACGGACAGTGCGAATCTTTAATGTGTTTTAATACTTTTTCGGAAGGCTTTAATATATAAGTCCTTCCAAACATGCATATATCGCAATATGGATGCTCTATATTGTGCACTATTTGTTCATGCTTTTCTCGACAGTCCACGCAACAGAACACCTCCTTACAAAGTCTACAATGGTTCTAAAATAATTAGTATCATTATTTATATTTCTGACATCTCTCAATTTACGTTAACTTACTTTTATAAATTCTTTCATTTTTCTATTGGTTTTACCACACAAACAATTTACAATACATAACACAAAACGCTAATAAATTTGTGAATATTGTGCAAAAATATAAACAGAAAAGAAAACCCTGTCTCAAAATTGATTGATTGCACTATTACTCGAATGTTGTTGTCGTTTTTTGCATATATTTTTTACGCGAAATTTTTTCGCTAAATATAATTCGCCGGTATTTAATTTAAATAAGTGGAGCGGTATTTTGTAAAAACTTTATAGGTTCCTGTAACAGGGCCACAATAATTGAAAGGTCAACATATAGATGTCGCCACGACATTTAAACTACAAACCACGAAAAATCAATTATTTCAGGCCCCTATTGATTGAATCGTTGGAATAAATAAATAAAATATTGTCAGTACTTTTTTTGCTTTATTGAAAACTTACAAATGACAAAAGAAAAATAAATAGTTATATATACAATTTAACCAATTATTCTAAAGACTTAACAAGAAACAAAACAATGACTAGAAATGTTATGGAAGTAAGTACGATCTGCGCCCTATTGTCAGATTTGAAATGGCTGGAGGAGAAATATTATTTGGATCATCTTGCGGTGGTGGCACCTTTTTTTGCTTCCAAATAACTCCCCCCAACTCAGACAACAGAAAATGTGAAACGCGTATTAGAGCGATATGCGCAATGTATTGTAATACTAAAGCTCCAAAACCTTTATAAAGTCCTAAATTTCCTTCGGTGGCTATACAAGACTCATAACAATCTATCGGGCCTGAATAATTGGTCAAAATTGGTAAAACTGATCTCCCATTGTCCAAGTTGTCAACTATTGTCCTTGTGCCCTGAATTAAAATAACACAAATACTACTAGCACAAGTATCTCAGTAACTATATATTGTTAATGGACACATTTCCCAATTTTTAAATATTCACAAGACAAAAAAGTTGCTGAAAGTGTGTCTATTAACATTTCCTAACAAGATAATCTTACCTGTAAGTGTAGACGGTGCACCACAGTCTCACAAGGAAAGAATACGATGTCAGTGATAATGGCAGCAACAATGGAGCTTGTAAGTTCAACATCCTGCTTGGTGGGCACCTGTCCCAAGTCCTTAGGGAACGCTCCCTGCTCTTCGTGGCGATTTCTGAACCTGGCATGCAATAATTTACCAGCTGCACCTTTGATGGCCATTCCAAACAAATATTTCGCCACTCCCAGTGTGACAGTGGGCACAATCAAAGCCCAGATTGGTAGCATCCTCCCTTTAGCTGGGGCCCCCCAATTTAACAGCCTCATAAAGCCTTCACGGAACACATCCAAACAACCAGGGCTTTCACTTGCAATCTCGCTTTGGACAGTCTCCACAAAAGAGGCAGAGTAAAAGGGAGTAACAATAGCTAAACTAACACTAAAATGAAATTTGTAGATAATACTCAGAATAATAGCAAAAAACTTACCATTTCAGCAAAGTGTGTTGAAAAAAGTGCTTTAAACTGCAATGAGTTCTTATTTCCCTAAAAATATAACTTATTAGTATAAAAAAAAATAAAAAAGCATATCCTTACTTTGGCCATGGTGTAGCTTTTGATACAAGGTCCTCAACCCCCAATGTCATGCCTCGTACAAGCAATACAGAGCCCAAACCTTTCCATAAAGTTGTTAGACCCTGTCGGGTGTGCAAATTTAACACAGCTGGTAACAATGTGAACGGCAATATGTGATATTTTTGTGAAACATGATGAACCTGCAATAGAATTGATTTATATGACCGTACTTACAAAAATTGTAACTTTTTACCTGGCATTGCCTTCTGAGTACTATAAAAGGGTGGCTGAGTAAGTTTTCAGCTACTAAGCTTACAAATGCCACTCCAGAACCAATGTACTTCTCTATTGCCACCTCTAAAATGATGGTTTCAAGTTAGTTACATCGTAATAGGTTATATTAGTGGTTTGGGGGTTACCTTCTGAATCCTGGTGGGGCGGTATTGGCGGCCGGTTTCGCATTCTGGTTAAATATTCTTGAGTTAGTGCCTCTTCTTCAGGATCTAATAACCTACGCCTCGGCGGGGGCACTCGTTTTTCCGGCATGTTTGGGGCGAAATTGAGAAGTTTCAGATGATCGTTATTTAGATTTTGTCCGGCCATGGCGTTAATTAACAAGTTTTTACTAATTTAAACTACAACATTACTTCATTAATTCAAAATAAACGTTAAAAACTAATTGATTTGTTGACATTTGACAGATACTGAATTTTTTGACAATTGACAATTTGGTTGTCAACGTCGACCATTGGCGTACCAAAATAATTTAATATAAGTTTAAATATTTAAAAACAATTTAAATCAGGAAAATATATTAATAACAATTAAAGGTTTTATTAAAAATTAATAGTTTTACTAAAATAAATGGTAAAATTATTAAGTATTTAGTTTTTCTGCTGTGCATAGGCAACCCAGTTTACAGTAGCTGTAGTTATTCTCTAATCTGACGAATTGTGTCATTAAATTAATGAATTTATAGATTATATAGGAACTAAATAATAAATAAAGGATAATTAAACAATTTAAAGTTTAATAAATGCTATATTTGGAAATTTTTATTCTCATAGCGATGTACCCAATAAGGCAATACAATATTGTTAAAATGTGTAAATAAATAATATTAACTTCAAAATTAGTTGAATGAAAACCAAATTCGTGTAAAACATCCTGGCCGTTCCTAATACATAATTTTGTTGTATTTGTACACTCATCTAAAAAGTATTATATAAATATTAGTTATTTATTAAAAAATATTATTTTCTACTAAAGATCTCCACGGTGTTCCACTGTAATATAGACAGGTTTTCAAATGTAAAATAAAATGGGGATATATATTTGATAAGGTTGAAAATTGTTGGAACTGTATCAATTTTTATCCACATTCCAGATAGGGTCATTACTAGTACTTCTATAGGTACTATGAATAGGTCTATGTACTTCACTGTTGGAAATAGTGCTGATAGACATAAACCTGCAAAAATATCGACTTTATATTTTGTCGATTTTTGTTTTATATTTTTATACCAAAAGCAGTAGACGATACTGTAGTTAGATACAATATAGACAGCATTTGGAAAAAATAATTAAATCCATTTAAGAACTTTAAAAAGATAAAATAAATAACTACATAGCTGAAGCAGTTGATAAAACAATACGGCAGCTAAAACAATAAAATCAAATCTTATCTTATTTAGTCAAGTCAAGTAGGTTTTACCGTTGAAACAAATTTTGATAAAAAATACGGAAGAGGTTTATATAACTCTTTTTCAAATAAGTAGATATTTACTTCTGAAGGGAATACAAAAATCACATAGTACATATGGCTGAAAATTAATTCGGAGATAATGAAAAGTATGGCACCCTGTATATTTTGCACGCTGTTTTCGCTGTTTATAGTAATATTAGTGTATGAGAGTGTAATGAGAAGACCTGATAACTAAAAGAAAAAATAGTTATTTTTAATAAGAAAAATAATTTAAAAATATATTTTACCATTAAAATTATATAGCTTGTTAATTGCCTGTTGAAATTTCTTTTTGAGTCGATAAAAACCCTCCAAAGTAACCATTTTAGTTGAAAAAGAATGGATTTTTTTATTTTTCTGGAACAAGTACTTAGTCAAAAAATCTACGCTATAAATAAAAAAAAGTCTTACTCTTTGGGTTTTAACGTGTTTAACCCTATGGTATCGAAAATCATCAAAAATGAATTATTTTGTATATCTTGGTCACTAAGGCATTTCAAATAGAAATCCGAAGGGTTATACGAGGCAGGACAACGGAAATTAAGTCTTAAACATAAAAAATCAAATAAAGCCAATAAAAAATTAACGAATTCGTACTGTTCAAAAAATTGCGCCCCTTCTTTCTTAGTGCCCTGAAAAATTAATTTACCATTTGCCATTAAAATAATATTATTAAAAATTTCGTAGAGTTGTGATGAAGGTTGATGAACTGTCAAAATAACTATTTTCCCTGTATTCGAAACGTCCTGTAACTTTTTAACGACCGACATGGCGTTAAAGCTGTCCAAACCCGTTGTTATTTCGTCACAAAATAAAACATACGGCTCACATAGAAGCTAGAATTTTATTTTGGTTTATTCAATTTTCCTAATTTTATTACCTACTTCCGAAATAAGGGCTACTTTCCGTTTTTCCCCACCCGATAAATTATTTATTAAAGTATTTTTATCCAAACCAAATTGTTGTACAAGTTTAAAAATTATTTTATTGTCCAATTTGTTTAATTTTAAGGCAGCCTAAAATAAATTAACTAAAATTTGCGACATTACTTTATAGTATACTATACTTATACTTATATATAAGAAATGATCACTATGGAACGCATCTAGGGTGCTGTGGAGAATGCCGGGCTCTAATTGGTTTATTGCTTTCTATAGCGATCATTTTCTATATATATATATATATATATATATATATATATATATATGTTTATTAGAAAGTAAAGATGTGCTTGTGTACGAGGTGTGTTCAGAAAATAACGGGAATTGTTAAATTTCGCGGATCGGAGGGTACGGTTGTCATAAAATTTTCTTTATTTTGTTAAATTTGTTAAATTTTGAACAAAATTGTTGGCAAAAACAATACTGTAATGATGCCCCAGCCTCCAGACATGCCTCTGTCTGACTTTTTCCCATTCCCAAAAATAAAGAGAACCTTAAAGGGCCGTCGTTTTGCAAGCATAGATGACATTAAAAGCGCATCGCTGAAAGAACTAAAGGCTATCCCAAAGATCGAGTTTTAGAAGTGTTTCGAGTATTGGAAGAAGAGCTGGCACATGTGCATAATATCCAATGGGGACTATTTTGAAGGCGACAAAATTAATGTAGACAAATAAATAAATATTTTTTTCAAAAAACGAAAATTCCCGATATTTTCTGAACACACCTCGTATATATATTAGAAAGTAAAGATGTGCTTGTGTATGTACCATAAAAGTCATATGCTCTAAAACCGTTAAAGTTTCCGTAAAAATATTTTGTTGCGGGATATATGCTGATATATTTCTTATGGTTTTGTCGGTTATAACTTTTTCATTGATTTTTAAATGTCCGAATTTTTGTGAAAGTCTGCCTGATATGGCCCCTAATAAAGTGGTTTTTCCCGAACCGCTAAAATTATAAAATATTTAGTCGGAGTTAAAATTAATATAAAATATTACCTAGGTCCCATAATGGCAATTAAATTATTATTGTAAGAAAATCCAGACACTAAAATTATAAATTAAATAAACATTAAAACGGTTATATAAATTACCGTTTTCTAAAACAACTTTATCGTCGTTTCCCTTTCTGAAAAAAGTCGTCGATTTTTTTATTTTGACTGTAATATTGTGCCATGAAAAGCAAAATTTGAAATCCTAAAATTTTGTCGATTAAATTATAAAAAAGCTAGAAAATTGTACTTACCATGTTGGTGATGAACTTGAATTAAATATATAATAATACATTGTTATCAGATCAGACAGAAACAAATATGTAAATTGCGATTAATTTTGGAATTTAGGTTAAAAGAAACACAAATTAAAACAAAATATATTATTAAAAAAATGCTGGATACATCTACCAATTAAGTACAAACAAATTTAATAATAGTATGATGAGAAATTTTAATTTCATATTGATTAATTAATTAATAACTATAATGGTGGCCTAATAAATATGCATAATTATCCAAAATCACCCTGAAATGTAAAATATAACATTGCACTTAAAAATGACCTATGTAGCGAAGCTTAAAATTAGTCATGATAGTTGTTAGAACCAAAGATATCAGAATAAATTATTGTGTTCATAGCTGCAACATAAGTTAAAAAAAAGTCAACACGAACACTTTTTTCTTTGTTCTTCATCATCATTCGAGTATTTACCGAGAGGAAATTGGTCGCCATCTTTTTTCTCGTTATTAATTATGGTATCGTTATTTAATATCTGTAAAAATTATTTATATTATGTGGTAAATAATCAAAATAAAATCTTACTGTTTGGACTAACGCCTTAGCAGCCTCATCTATGTTAATATCGTCTTTAGCCGACGTTTCAAACCAGGCAGTGAAGCCTTTTTCTTTGCAGTACTCCTCCATTTTGGCTGGCACGTTCGCAATACCTTCTTTAGGCTGATCACACTAAGTTAAACAAGGTTTTTATTGAGTTGGAAAACAGAGCATCTCTTACCGCACTCAATATTGCTGCAACGTTGGGAGCCTGCAGCCCTATGTAATGATGCATTACTATTGACGCAAACTGTACCACGACTACGAACCATGCAACGATGCAGAAATATTGAGTGCTATAGTGAACTTTCCCTTTAGGGATAAGTTATAAGTGTTAATTTTTTGTGACAAAATTTTCAACGTCAAAAAAATACTAAACGAAACAAAATTTTATTTATTCTACCTTATTAGCTAGTAGTACGCAGGGTATGTTGGAACCATCAGGTAATTGTACTTTGGAATCCAAATCAGATTTCCAATTGTTGACTGAATCGAAAGTATTTTTCCTAGTTACGTCAAAAACTATAAAGGCGCCTACCGCTTCTTTATAGTAAACCCTAGTCATGTTGCCATATCTTTCTTGACCTAAAACCGTTAAGTACTATGAATGAATCTCTTGTATTGCCGATAACCTTTGTACGTTTAAAATGTTGTCATCTTCTAAAAAAAACTATTTTTTCACTCAAATTACCTGCTATGTCCCACAGTTGAAGCCTTATCAAGGTATTGTCGTCCCAGTTGATGACTTTTAGGGCAAAATCCACCCCTATGGTTGCTCTGTAGTTTTGGGTGAAAAATTTATGCACATATCTTTTGATAATCGATGTTTTTCCGGTGCCCAAGTCCCCAATAACTAAAATCTTGTATAAATGATCTCTCGGCTTGCTAACTGACTGTTGTTTGACAATTGACTGAAAAAAAAACACGCATTCTTTATTGATACGTAATATGTAAGTTGGGTATCAATTTTCATAGAAAACCTTGCAATTTGGCTTTTATTACGCTATTGATTACAAATATAGAATGTGAGAATTATTAATATGTAAAATAAGATAAACTTGTAAAAATGGCGAATGTGCCGGGAAAAATTTTAAGTAGGTAGTTGATATAACGTTTCTTATCAACACTGTGTTTATCGAGGATTTTATAATAGTAGGTTAATGACAATAAATTTCAAAGTAAAAAACTGTAACACTAAAATATTTTACCGTTGAAATTGTGGATGGGTCTACAATGAGTTCACCAAAGGCTGTCATTTTTTCGATGCGGTCTAGGGATTCTGTGCGTGCTTTTGGCTCTCTCAAACCAAACTGAGGTCTATCCACTTTGATAACACTTTCGGTTGACTCAATTTTATCTAATTTCGAATCTTCCGCACTTTCCCAACTCTCCGCTAAGTTATTTACGGACGCGGATTTCGATAGTGGAGTGCGGTCTTCTCCTTCTGGAGTTCGCCGTTGTTGGTGTTCTTCCGAAGAAGACCCTGGCACAGCAACACCGGCCGATTCGGGATCGCACGGCAGCGAAACGCCCTTTTTCAGCTTCAACTTTTTCAGGAAGTGCCCGCGTTTTTGCTTATTGACCAACTTTTGACTTTGAACGGATATCAGTTTTTTCGGACTATCGTCAGGATTTTTCATTTTTAATTCGAAAGGATCGTTACATTCCGTTTGTAGGGTGTAACGCGACTAAATTCTTATAGGTAATCTCGTTAACTAGTCGGCTAAAGAGGGGGTAGTATCAATTTACATGTATGTGGTTATGGAGTTTCATTACAATTACAATGTTTAAGGAAATATTTTCAACCAACTTTGAACAGAATCCACAAAAACATATTACTTTCTTTAATGTCCCTTACATTTGTTTTTATGCATCTCACGAGCTTGCTTATAAGATTTTCATAAAAAATACACTATAATTTTTAAACTACACTCACAGGCAAAATAATCGATCCACACAAATTTTCGATGAATTTCAATCGCAAATAACTTTTTTATTTGATTTCGGATTTAATTAAATATTAAAGAATATTGTAGATACATTAATGGAGAATCGCTCACATTTTAAAAATTACTTAAAAATACACGTATGTTTATATTATACAGGTTTAAACAAAAAGATTTTTTTTACCATAAGTTTAAGACACTCTGTAGAGTGGCAAAACCGTATATTGTTCAAAATTAAGTTTTAATTATCAAGTCACATCTATTTTTAACAGTTTTGTTTTTGGTTCACCTTGATATATTTATTTTTGTGGAAAATATGGATTTTTTTTTAAAAACATTGCAATTTCCAATATTTTTCCTGTATGAAGAACTAAGGTTGCTATGGTCCATCCATAGCCTACGGAGGATGACAGTGACAGTTTTGTTGAATCATCCCATACTTGGACATGTCATATACAGCTTTCAAAAGCTATCAAATTGTTTTTTATAAATTAATGTGTTAATTTTGAGGTGTCTTCTTACTTTTAAAAATGTCTCAGACTGATGTTGCCCTTTGTACTTTACTTCTTGTGACGTTTAAAAAAACACTTGCCACGTTATACTGTGACCGTCCATCCTGGATTAAATTAATTGCTCTGGCAACATCAGTCGGGGACATATCCATTTTTTAAAGTAAGAAGACACCTCAAAATTTAAACATTAATTTGCAAAAAACAATTTGATAGCTTTTGATAGCCGTGTATGACATGTCCAAGTATGGGATGATTCAATAAAACTGTCACTGACATTCTCCATAGCATATGGATGGACCATAGCAACTTTAGTTCTTCATACAGAAAAATATTGGAAATTGCAATGTTTTTTAAAACAATACATATTTTCCACAAAAATAAATATATCGAGGTGAACCAAAAACAAAACTGTTAAAAATAGATGTGACTTGATAATTAAAACTTAATTTTGAACAATATACGGTTTTGCCACTCTACAGAGTGTCTTTAAGACACTGTCTTAAACTTATGGTAAATAACATCTTTTTATTTAAACCTGTATATTATAAACGTACGTCTATTTTTTAGTAATTTTTAAAATGTGAGCGATTCTCCATTAATGTATCTACAATATTCTTTAATATTTGTTTAAAACCGAAATCAAATAAAAAAGTTATTTGGGATTGAAATTCATCGAAAATTTGTGTGGATCGATTATTTTGCCTGTGAGTGTATTAAAACTGTATTAAAATCATTTAGTTTTAATTTTATAATCATAAAAAGTTCTTAAATTTTTGTTTTAAAACTGGGTGAATCTCACGAAAGGTCCTCTGATGGTGTTACCCAGTGATATTTAATAAAACTAAATGAGAGACCTACACTTTTATTGTGTTTTGATCTTTCATAATTAAGTAGATAAAACAGCTTAGGTTCCAGATTTTTAACCTCAATTAATTATTTTTTACAATGTTTTAAAAGTCTAAAACCTATCCCCCGTGACTGTTACTCTTTCTAGGTTAACCTATATGTTTTCAAATATCTGAGGTATACCTACTTACTATAGTAAAAGCATACTAAAAATATCAGTTCACTAAGTAAATTAAACACATCCAAAACAATGGAATCAAATATAAAATATTATTAAAAATTAAAAGAAATAAATTTTATAACAATTTATGGAGGTGTTACAAAAATTGATTCTATCCTCCGTGAATCTGTTTTTTCTTTAAATTTTATGCAACGGATGGCGCTTTATTCATTTTAAATAAGCAAAAACCTCTGTTTACGACATTATAGATGCATGTGATTCCTGAAGGTCAGTTAGAATTTATACGCAGATGAGAGTGTTGCTGTTTTATAATTCAAAAGTTTAAGTTCATTAATTTGCTATTTAAAAACCTATCCACCGTGAAGTGTAATATCTCAGTAAGTAGATTTTTTTTATAAATATTTTATGTATGTACAATTGTATTTTTAAAAAATATTAAGGTTTCAAAAGATACAATAACTTATTTCAAAGGGATGTTTTAAAAAAACATACAAAATCTTAACCTCCGTGAAGCTATCTTCCGTGAAGCTCTAATATTCAAAATGTATGATTTCTTCAAATTCTTGCATTAGTGCAGAACCACTTATGTGGTTCAATATATTTTAAATGCAAATTTGCATTTAAAATATACGTACAGCACACTAAATTACCATAAGAATCAATATAATTAATCATAAAAGGGTTTTATTTTTTTTACTAAAGTGGGACAACTTTTATTTGAAATAGTTTATTTAGGAAAAAATTTTCTAAAAATAATCGTAAAATTAAGACATTAAAGGGCTTAATAAGTTTTTATGGATTCTGTACGCATAAATAACAAAGTATATTGTTTCAATGTGTTTATGGGGCTTCTCTGAAATACAACGTACATTACTTTATCAAATAAAACGTACGTGACACTTTTATCTTATGCATACAAGCGTCATTTTACTAGTAGGGTAGGTCAACATTAAAAATAAGGGTACATTAATAATATAAAATTTTGTTTGATATGAACGACTAAATATTTATTTATATAGTAAATTGAAGTGGATTTTTAGAATAAATAAAATATAGAGCACGTAATTACATAATAGAAAGCATACCATTTTTTTGTTTTCCATCCTGTTCCTATGACACTTGACAAAATTGTTGTTATCATAAGATAGTTGTGTGGAATCAGTGGAAGAGGCAGAAATGTCATAAGTCAATAGGTTGCTGTCGTCGATGTCGACATTTTTTTGGTAATTCGACAGCAAATACCTGTCGCGACGCTTCGTCCTTTCGGCCCTTGTTCGTCGACTTAAACGCTTACTAGACGCTTCTTCTATCATTTCGAAATACTCAATAATAATGAAGCTTTAAACGCATTTATAAATACAACATTTCCGATAAGTACCGGACACTGACCTTAATTATCAATTATATGACATTTGTGTTATAAAGTGTTATTGTGAAAAAAATATTTTAACCACCACGTCCAGAAGACTGACTCGTTTATAAACGTGGTCTGTCGCATGGGGCCCAAAACAGAACCCAGCGGCACTTCTATTTATATTCAAATACTTGTTTAAATTTCTCGAATTGTTAAATTAAAATAACAAACATTAGTTGATATGAATGCATTTTTGCACAACAAATTTATTAAATAAATATGTTGAGGTGCTGACTTACCATTTCAATATTTAATTCCTTATTTTTCTGTGGAAAACATTGAGGTTTGGCTATGAATTCAAAGTCGCCGTGAACAGTTTTATTATTTTTCTTGTGGCGGATTGTGACTGTCCTAACTATTATTGCAGCTCCCATAAGACACACACACGCACAAATACAAGTCTACAATTCACAAACGTCAAGTAAATATGAAATGATAAGATGAACCGTTTCGTATACTTGTTGAGATAACAAAAACTATTATTTACAGAGACCTTCTCCACCGGTATAAAGCACGTTAAAAATGTTGTTTTTGTTTTTTTGAATTTAGCTAATTGCAGATTTTTTTGCTTACTTATGTATGTAGGTACTAATTGTGATAAGTAATTCAGTGGCGTGTTGTTGAATTATTGCGCAAAAAATTGTTTATATTTTTTAAAATATATTTATTTAAACTAATACTTAATGCAGTATATTATGTATCAAGTTTGGTTTTGGTTAAGAATTTTAATTAGGCACGAGCGAGCTTGCGAGCGAGTGTTTAAATAAATGAGTTTGAAAGTTGCATACTATACTTTTTCTACGACAAATACACTTTTTTTATAAATATAACAAAAAAAGTACTTTGTCTTAATAATGTAAAGATCCCTATTCTTCCAAAAGGCAAAAAGATAATTTTTATATAAATTATTTATCTACAAACGCTGCTTTCAGTAATAGCATTTGCATTAATTACACAGTACGACAAAATTTGATTTTTGGTCCCTCCCATGAAAAATTTCTACAGATTCTAAAAATAGAGTTAAAAAAATGATACCCGTGTCTCGGCGTTTTTTCACATCACGTCATAATTTTTTTTTAAGGGCTATCCAATAAAATGTTATTCACACTATTCGCGACATAATTTAATAGACTCGATAACAGCTGGACTGCATACTATGCAGTGCATAGTTAAAAATATATATATTTACTAAATGGATAGGCAACCATTATAGATGCATTTTAAAATTATTTTAATCTTATACAGAGTTTTGCACATTTATATATGGGCAGATCCATTACTTTTCGACAAAAGTGTGCGGGGGTAAATCACCGATTTGGCTGCCGATTTTTTTCTCGAAAGTAGGTCATATAAGGGACCGATCCAAAAAATTTGAGCTCCATATAGGTAATTCCGGCTGCAAGAGAATTTTTTGAAATATAAAAAAAGTCGATTTTTTAGTCATTTTCAAAAATTCGTATCTCAGCTCCTATTTAACTTAGAGATTTGATCAAGACGGCATTTTTCTATGTTATCCCTCTATTTTCAAGAAAAAAATAGGTTTTAAGTTTAAACTTAAATCCGGCTAAGCTGTAAGCCTCCAAATAAAACACTGCTTAAGATAAATTTTGCCAATTTTTAAAGTGCTCTCAAATCTACAGTTTTTAAAGCAGTGGAATAAATGACAGATGATATTTTTCGTTAAGGTATACTCTGTTGGAATTTACCCATTTTTTACTTTATTGCTTCGATTTCTCTAATGTATGGCCACTCAAAGACAATTGATTTTTGAAAAATCGCTGTTTTCAGATACCTACAACTTTTTTCTATCGATCCGAAATCCTTT